GGGTGGTAAAAAAAAAAAACTGAAAACTCAAAACGGAAACACATTTTTTGAGTTTACATTTTTTGGCCAAATTTATAAATTGAGACCACTAATTTATAAATCAAAAATTTACCAAACAAGTTTTTATTTGAGTTTTTTAAATTTTTGTAAATATAAACTGAAAACGTAAGTGTTACCAAACGGCACCTGAATACAAATAAACATGCTTAGTATGTTGTAGAGGTGGTGGCCACTAGAGTTAGGGGTCTTTTGAGAAGTGAAAAAAAACAAAAAAAAGTTAGTTTTTAATTTTTTATCCATTTTAAATCAAATCACTTCTCATATTTTTTATTCACAAAAATATAAAATAGACTAAAAAAATTAAAAAATTAACTTTTTATCAACTTTCTAAAATATCATTTAGTCGTTTGAGTGTCGTCAACCGTGGTTAGAGGATTGTCATTATCGGTGGATGACGATCAATGGTAGTGATAGTTAGATGTAATGGTCGAAATTGGTTACTAGAGTTAGAGATGTCAATTTAAACTCGACCCGACAGAGACCCGACTCCCTAATCCCGATTGGAACGGGTTTTCTCCAAAAATAATCCTCATAGAGTCTGGGATGGTATTGAAAATTAAATCCCCGTTAATTTTTGGGCCGGAGATGGTAACAGATTCCTTGGCCCCGGCCCTGAAGTCCTGAACAATCCCCCGTATGTGTATATATATATATGTTTAGGCTGCTGTACAACTTTATTACTTTATTATATTATATCTACTATAATATCTTTTTTGCTTTATTATATTAAATCTAATATAATATCTACCTAAACTTATCTATCTCAACTTTCTCTCTCTCTCTCTTTCTCTCACGCGCGCACACACACACACTTGTTCTTCTCCTTTTACTCTCTGTTGAGAGAGATGCACCTTCCAGATCTAAGCTGCGATGGAGGAGTCTAAAGAGAGATCGGCGACGAAGAGCATTTTTGGAGAGCAGATCTGAGCATTTCTGAGCGACGGAGAGCAGATCTGAGCGTTTCTGTAAGAAAGATGCACCTTCCACGATGGAGCATTTCTGCACTTCTCTCTCTATGTTTAGGCTGCTGCATTTCTGAGCATTTCTGATCTGAGCATTTCTGATCTCACTGGTATAGATATAGATACACATGGTGTTGATGTTGATAATATAGATATAGATATAGATATACATGTTGATGTTGACGATGATGATGATTTTGTGGACTATAGTTGTTGATGATGATGAGATAAAACAGATGCTGTTTTGCTTCTTTTTTTTTTGTGTGTGAGGGGCGGGGAATTTTCGGGGTCGAGGAAACCGATCCCTGTTGGGAGGCGGGAGCAGGGGTGGGGACGATGATAGGTTTCTCGTCGGGGATCGGGACCGAGGCAGGGGAAATTTTTACCATCAGGGATCGGGGACGGAGAGTGTGATCCCCGGCCCCCGCTCCCGGCCCGTTGTCATTCCTAACTATAGTTGATGAAGAGTGTCATTGGCCGAAAAATGGCCATTGCTAGCTAGAGGATTACTAATGTTATTTAAGGTGAGTAGAACTAATTAGAGGATCACTAATGATTCATAGTAGTGGTGGAAAAGAAAGAAGGGGAGTGAAAATTATCTCGCTTAAGTGAAAGAACTTTTGGGTTCGTTTGGTTTGAATTTCCCAAAAATTTTTGGGAAAATTTCTCTACAAATGAGTTTTCAGAAAAACTCAAACCAAACAAATTTTCTCAAAATTTTTTTCCAAAACTTGTAAACCAAACAAGTTTTCCAAACAAATCTCTCTCTCATACACATCAAATCAATCACTTTTTTCAAAACTCTCTCTCAAAATAATTTTTCAAAACATCTTTCCAAAAAAATCAAACCAAACAACTTTTCGTACTTTTTATCTCCCAAACTCATCTCCCAAAATCAAACCAAACAAGCTCTTTGTTTTCAAAAATTTAATTTAAAAATATAATCAATTTATTTTTTTTAAATGAAAATAGTATAATAAATAAGCTTTAATTTTTAGTTTTTAGGAAATATAGAAACAAAAACAAAAAACAAAAGTGCTACTGACATCTTAGAGAGTTCGGATAGTATTTGTATATTAAGGCCTGGTTTGACATATACGAAAAAATATAAAAAAAAGTTAAAAATTATTAAAAAGGTAAAAAAATTATCCCTATTCATCGAATAATATATATAAAAAAAACTTTTTACACAAGCCAAGTACAAGCTATTCAATCAGTATTGAAGTGATAGTACACAGGCCAAGTGCACAAAAAAATTTGTATAAGATGGTGCTGTTCGGCCCGAGGGATCCATCACGGGTTCCGTTTTAATAATCTGAATCGTTTTAATGTGTAGAATTCGTCAAGTACTATATGTCAATAAAATATTACATTGATCAGATATCGATAACTATATGATCAAATTAGTTTTGTAAAAAAAATTGGACGGTGAAGAAATTTACGGCTGAAAAAAAATTAATCTGATCAAATAGTTATCGATATCCGATCAATATGATTTTTTACAGGTATATAATACTCAATAAGTTCTACACATTGACGGTTCTGATTATTAAAACGGGACCCGTGGTGGGCTCCCACATGCCGAACAGTATCGTCCAGTCCGATCTTGGACTGTAGGCAATCTGTTCCTATACTTGTTTCCCACCGTCTAGCTTCCTGGACAATTCAAGTCAGTAGGCAATTCATTATAGTAGGGGTAAAACGGTAATATTGTTATTTTATATAATATTTTAATACATATTTTTTCGTAAAAAGTCAAAAAGTTATCTCAAATAACTATCTTTTTTTTCTCTATTTTTTAGTCTAAAAAATCAAAAAATATACATTTTTAGAACCTTCCAAATAACTCCTAAATTATTTAAAGCCCAAAAGGTGAAAATTTAAATAACATGATAACACGACTCAAATTATATATGAAGTTAACATATTAGAGTTGATCCCTCTTTGACACAAATACAAATAAAACATAATCTGATAAAAAGAATATTAATAAGTTAACATCAAACTTGCATAATGCAAAGTAGACAAGAATATTTGTTTAATAAAAAAATAATATTATTTCTACCAAGAGTAGTCATAATAAAGCTTAGTTTGGCAAGTCCAAAATAATTTAAAAAGTAAAAAAATTACACAAAAAGTAAAAAAATTATTATTATTTATAAATTAAAATTTTACAAATTAAAAATATTAAAAAAATATTTTATATATTTTTATAATATAAAAGTTTGATGGATACTGTTAGCCGTACTTGTGAAGCAGGAAGGCCATTATATAATTTTTTGGGCCAAAAAAAAATTACATATGTAAAGTCACAAAGTTTGATTCAAACATTGAGCCATTGGGGGCCCACTAAGGGTTCCGTTTTGATAATCTGAACCGTCAATATGTTGAAATTGTCGAGTAATATATGCCTATAAAAAATCACGTTGATCGGATATCGTTAACTATATGATCAAATCAGTTTTGTATAAACAAAATGGATGGTGTGATAGTTAACTGTTGAAAAAAATTAATCCGATCATATGGCTATCGATATCCGATCAACGTGATTTTTTACAAGTATATAATACTCGACGAGTTGTACATATTGAACAGTTCAGATTATTAAAATGCGATCCATGGTGGCCCCCACGAACCGACCATCACTGTCCAGAAACTCTGCCCTTCAGGAGGCAATTATTTTCTATGTAAGACCAGCCGTACAACCACTCGACTTTCTTCCCCTATACACTTTATTTATACAATTTTTTCGTAAAAGACAAAAAGTTAACCCAAATATCTATCTTTTTTCTCAACTTTTTAATTTAAAAATTTAAAAAGTATACTTATTTAAAACACCCTAAAAGTTTGAACAATAAATCTAGGCTCATTAACTAAAA